CTACAGAAACATTTTCGAAGGTCACATGAGCAACCAGCCCTCGTCTGATAACACCACTGTGGCGGATTATTCCCTGTGGAAGTGGAAGGATGAACTAGTCAAGAGAGCCACAAAAGCTGCCAAAGATCTGGGATATCTTTGAAGCTTCCCTGATTTGACACAAAGGAAAAACTGTCAGCAATCTGCCATTGATTTTTTGTTGTTGGTTGACTTGAGTGTGTTTTGTTGTTATTTGGTTGCTTGCATTCAATCCTTTTTTTGTGTATGTTTTTGCTTCACAGCTATCTGAAGGTGGTCCAAAATTCAGACACGTTTGTGATAATCTAAGCAATGGGAATAGATATGCCAGCATCAAGGGAAGTTGGTGTGGTTCAGTGTGATACTCTTTGAAACAGAAATAAGTGTGAAATAATCCTTTATGCTTGAACACTTGATATTAAAAAAATTTTACGGTTTCTGAAACATGTTCCTTGTGCAAAATAAAACTGGGAAAAACAAAAAAAATACTGAAGAGTTGTAATTAATCATTTGGGAAGGCTTTTGTAAATGATATTCAACTCACAAAAATGCAGAAAATGTTTACAGCTCACATCAGAAGATACTGATTGCATTCAAAATATATATACATGTGTAGATTACTTTCGAGGGGACATTGGTCAGGAACTTGCTGATGAAATGCATACAATTTATCAAATTGACCCAAAATTGTTTTGGAAGCTCTTTCAAAATTGATTCTGTCAACAGCAATTATTACAGAAACATATTGTTATCCAATCCTCTTGTTTTCAGTGAGAAGTCTTCTCAAACTAAGTTGTTGACTACTGGGCTTGCAGTTGAGCATAAAATATTGCTCATTCTGAACATCATGCACAGTAATATGCATAAATCTAGTGAAGTTTTACTGAAAGCTGAATGAAAATATGCACTCACTCACACTTCTGATAAATATGTTTATTGCTCATCCTCAGTTATCTAGGTATTCACAACGCCAAATAGAATTTTTTTTAAATTCCAAGAACTAATCTCATACAAGGTGATCTTACCATATCGCCCCATATTCCAGACAAACAAAGCAACTCATATTACGAGAACGTATATAGATAAAAAAGGACAGCGAATCACACACAAAAAAGGAATTTCTTCTACGTATTTTTCCAACCCGATAAGACGGTTGCTTCATATGAAAGCCACCACTTGTATGTCGACTCTGCCTGGGTTAGATTAGTTGTCCTCACGAATATACTGAACACTTTGAGTGAAATTTCTCCGCGGAAGGTGTCTCTTGAATTTTTATTTCTGATAAATTGTATTTGTGGTCAAAATGGCCATAAAAGTTGAATTCGGAGCCTTGAAAAAGCCGCATGCGATTTTGAAAATTGTCACCGGAGTGAGTAAAAAAAAATTCATTTATCATTCAAGGCCAACAACTTTCAAAACTAATTCTACCGTAATTTTTGAAATGACGCTTCAGCAAGTGATTATTCTTATTTTTTCAAATTTTAGGCTACTGTTCCGTTATCACAGCAATATTTGAACTTCTGATGTCTTTTCGGCGACTTAATAACCCAGGATAATCAAAATGAGGACTCGGTTTCTGCTGTTAACGTGCTCCTTTTTTCTATTGGGTTCTTTGTGACTTAATTATCCATTAAACGCACTTCGTCAGTCGTCGACAATAAACGTGGACCCGAATCGTCCGGAATATCAGGGTTATATTTATTAACAAAATGCAAAATTCTTGAAATGTACACAGGAATGGATATTTCAGCGAAATAAATTATTGGTTTGCTTCATTTTACCAGTATAAATCCAGAAGTGAATGTGCAATAAAATGGACGCCATGTTTCAATCTGCACAGTACAAATATTGCTTGCAGGCAAAGAAGAAAACTGTAGCAGAATAGGTGACTTCATGTCTCTGGAAGCTTTTTGTAGAATTTTTTTATCCATTGAAGATTTAGTTGTTTGATTTTTTTAAAATACAGTGGAATTCTGTTACCATGAATCTCATCACAAAAAGTTTTTAATCATAACAACTTTTCTTTATTGTTCCTGGCTGTTTACTTTAGGCGTAATGTTATAAAAATATTTATTACAATTATCAAATTATTTTATAGGCTGTAATCTCAGTATAAAAAATGTTTGTCCATCATTCTTTGCTTAGACAATGAGGTTTGTTTTATATGTATGACTGGAAGCCAAAAAGAAATAAAAGTTGCCGCATTCCAACTTCATCAAGAATTAAAAATTCTTCAAGAATGTCTGCCAAGAAATCTTCCTGTTCATAAAAGATTAAACAAGCTGTATTTCTTGGAAATTCAGTAGCTCCATTGTAGATTGTTTGCCTTTCTCCTCAATATACAGTATGTTTGGAAGAATTTTCCTCTATCTGCAAGAACATGCATGACTGAAAAGGTTTATTCAGAAGGAAGCATTCCTCTTACATTATGTTCATTGCATATTTTGAAGATATGACCCTTTTTTTTAGCAGGATGGCAGGGTCAGTATAAAAAAGGAATTATTTATATCATGTTCTATTTTCATTTCATCAGGAATAATCATTATTTATGATCAGCAGTATAATCATTCAATGTTTTGTTTTGGAAGCCCATGAAAATATTTCTTACATCTTTCCTACAAAATGCCAGTCTAAAATGTGTTAGATAAAAATTATGAATCTCAATTCAACAAAGTTTTTGTTAAAACAATTTTCACCAAGTCCCTGGAAGTTTGTTGCAATGAGATTTTACTTTACCTACTTTTACAACTTCTTTTCATGCTGGGATAAATACTCAAAATGCAAGTCTCAATATTCAGAACCATGCTCTGATTCTATTTATATTCCGTCATCTCAGCACATTATCAAAGTAATTATTTTCCTCAGATGATCTNAAAAAGAAATAAAAGTTGCCGCATTCCAACTTCATCAAGAATTAAAATTTCTTCAAGAATGTCTGCCAAGAAATCTTCCTGTTCATAAAAGATTAAACAAGCTGTATTTCTTGGAAATTCAGTAGCTCCATTGTAGATTGTTTGCCTTTCTCCTCAATATACAGTATGTTTGGAAGAGTTTTCCTCTATCTGCAAGAACATGCATGACTGAAAAGGTTTATTCAGAAGGAAGCATTCCTCTTACATTATGTTCATTGCATATTTTGAAGATATGACCCTTTTTTTAGCAGGATGGCAGGGTCAGTATAAAAAAGGAATTATTTATATCATGTTTTATTTTCATTTCATCAGGAATAATCATTATTTATGATCAGCAGTATAATCATTCAATCTTTTGTTTTGGAAGCCCTTGAAAATATTTCTTACATCTTTCCTACAAAATGCCAGTCTAAAATGTGTTAGATAAAAATTATGAATCTCAATTCAACAAATTTTTTGTTAAAACAATTTTCACCAAGTCCCTGGAAGTTTGTTGCAATGAGATTTTACTTTACCTACTTTTTGTTGAAGAAAAGTACGACCCTATTTATGAGTTTTACGTTCAGAGTTATAAGTCTTGGTACGAGACTAAGATAAATATAAGGCAGTAGAGTCGTGTAATAGTTTCATTAATAAAAGGAGTCTACTAGAGTCTAAATATATTTGAATGGGCATACTTATTAGTTGCTGGGTGATCAAAGAAATAAGTTTTAGCAGCTATTGTGATGATCTGTTGCATATATTTTTTCAATACTGGAATTAATCTTAATGCAAATAATTTATTAGGTATATTCTTCCACAGGTTTTGGCATTGCTGTCTCTGGCCTTGTATCGGGGAAGTTGGTACCTTGATGGCCTGGCTTCTTTCTCGCCATTGCACGAAAACATGAATTCCACCTTCTTTTTCATTGGAAGCATGTTCATGTACACTGTGATGCCCTTGATGCTTTGTGTGTGCTACGTTTTGGGGCAGACGCAATCGGTTCAGGTGAGATAAGATGCGATATAGAAAGCGACGTGTGAATAATCGAGGGATTCATGTGTGTGTGGGTTTTGGAAAAAGCCGCATGTTGTTCAGCCAGAAGGAAATGCAGGGTTTCAATGAGTTTTTCTTTTCCTCTGGATTTTCAGTCTTGGAATATGAACTGTTGCTCTATTTTTCTGCTAGGGAATTTAAAATTTTCTCCATAATCTGGTTTAAAACTTTTGATTATCAATGCTATCAACAGGCGGTTACAGGAAGTTTGATATACAATACAATCTTAGAGGATTTGGAAAAACTTAGCTTTACATGATTTGCCCCCAAAGATGCTCTCTGAACTGAGTACTAAATTAAAAGTTATCCACAAACCAGATGAAAACCACCTGCTTAAATTTGTGCTCAGTATTGCCCTTATTGTGCTAGCTGATTCATTTTTTTATCATATTTCATTTTTGTTGTATGAAACAGGGACTTGGAGTAGGGTTAAAATAATTATTCCATCACTCCACTCCACTCCAGATATGATCAACTACTGCTCCAGGGCTCTGGAGGTCAAGACACTTGACAGAACCATTGAATATAGTGCAGTAAAATTCCATAACAATGAATTTTGTCATAAAACTTTTTGCTAGACCAAGTTTTTTTCTGAGCATTTTTTCCCTATGCCCAGGAAATAATTTATCCATTTCAACCTGTATTGCAAAGCCATTGGCATGGCATTGGCACAAAAACATTGGGCTAACAGCCATTTGGTCACTGGCCAATGTCTGACAACAGATGTTCCCTGACAAATGTCGGCCAATGCATGCTTCCATGTGTTGTGAACCCATCCTGGCATGCATTGGCCCAACTTTTGGGGAATGTCCCCAATAAAAGCATCCCCCCTGGCATGTCTGAAAGCAGTAGAAAAAACATAAGTTCCCATTCCTTTGCTGCAGTTTACTTCTTCATTTTGCCTTCTTTGTGCTGTACTCTTTCCTCTTTCTTCTGTACTTAATTTTATGAGTTTTCTGTTAAAAATTAAGTAAGGACGACGACGAGGAAAGGAAACTTAGACCACAGGACTACTACGAGGACCCAAAACTTGATCCTGGTAGACTCATCTACACTTTACTACAAGTGAACTTGTAGTAAGGGTGTAATAAGTACATAAGTTAAGAGCAAGAAAGGCCTTCTTTTTAGGATCACTCTCTTTTTTCAATGCCCTTCTATCTTAACTGGGACACTTTTTACAGATCTTCAAAGTTTGAAGATCATTTTAGATATTTTTTGTGTTTATCAAAAATTTACACATGTACAGTGGGCCCCCGACTTACAACAGGCCCATGTTACGTCTGTTTCAACTTACGACGTTTTTTTTAATAATGAAAAACCCCCAACTTACGTCGGGGTTTCATGATACGACTCTTTTTGTTGCTTGCAAAAATGACCCATGAGAGGAACTTAGTACCAATTCAGCGGACTGATGTCAAACGAGCACCAGAACACCTTGCTGCACCTTCAATTATTCATTCCTGCTGCTGCTCCTTTCCTTTGAATCTGGTGTCCTGATGATGCTCCTGGGTTTTGAACTAGGACCATCTGAGTAGATGTGAAATGATGTTCACTTGAACATCATTCCCACATTATTCATTATAAGTTAAGAGCAAGAAAGGCCTTCTTTTTAGGATCACTTTCTTTTTTCAATGCCCTTCTATCTTAACAGGGACACTTTTTACAGATCTTCAAAGTTTGAAGATCATTTTAGATATTTTTTTGTGTTCATCAAAAATTTACACATGTACTCAACAATGAATCAGCAATGTTCAAGGGAACATTGCAGGTACATTGCCTCAAGTAACACTTAAATTTCATGGACATTCTAGTTTAAGTATGCAAAATTTCTATGGTCTCAAATTATATTTCAATGTTTAAATGTGTACATTGCTAAATGCATTGGCACTCGGCTGTTCAATGGTACTCTAAACAGGATGCATTTAATTTTCCACAAAATGTCTAGCATACCATTCCCAAATGCACCCTACAATATATTTCAGAATGGCCTTTATCTCAAATGGTGTTCTTGATTGACTGCCAAAATTTCCTGCAATGCCTAGCTCAAAATGCCAGGACATGGGGCCTTGGCTCAAATCCCAATCATTGCAGAAGGCATTGCAGAACTTATTGACTGGCCATTTCCTCAACACTTTACTGCCCAATGCCCCCATGATTTGCTGGGTATGAACAACGCTAAAATAATTACCTTTTTCCAAACTAAATTGCATCAATAATATCATTAGACAAATTTTTTGTTTTGATTATCTGTAAAAAAACGTATCGCTGTATGTACAGGCATTACGAATTTTCAACACTTGGAAAAATTGGAAAACCCAAATTGAACACAATGAAAAGCAAAAAAATATAGAAATTCTAATCCTTATGCATTTTCATACAGCTATTGCATATATAGGTAGTGGCTCTTATGGGCCTCAACCTACACATATTATAATGGTTCTCCAAAAAATTATCTCTGAAACATTTTCTTCTAATCCTCTGAATTATGTTGTATGCATTTTCATACAGCTATTGCATATATAGGTAGTGGCTCTTATGGGCCTCAACCTACACATATTATAATGGTTCTCCAAAAAATTATCTCTGAAACATTTTCTTCTAATCCTCTGAATTATGTTGTATAGATGTCAAGTACCTAATAGTGTGCCCAATGGTACTGTAGCAGCTGGGGGATGCATGTTTCCAATTATATGTTGAAGACCTATTTTAAGGGAGGGACTTCTGTCCCTCCCTTGGCTATTTGTGATTGTTTGGCTGGTGCCAAGCAACCACAGTTTTTAAAACAGTTTTTTGAACTTTATGAACTGCCTTGGCTTTTGGTATGTGTACATGTCTCACAAACGAACCCATTTTCAGGCTTTGTTGAAAAAAAATGCAAGTGAACCATGGGAGGTACTTGTGTAGGACACATAAACTTCAAAATTTCAGAAATGTTTTGAGAAAAATTAAATTCAGGATTTAAACCACAAATGACAGGCTGAAAAATCTCACAGCTTAACAGATTATTCCATTGTAGAAACTCCAGCCCAGAGGCTTCCATGCAGAATCTACAAAAAGGAGACAGAGAAGTTCAGTTGGAAAGGAGAGACCCATTAAATCAGTAAATGCTGCCCTCTCTGAACCCAATAGTAATTGAATATCAAGGGGGAAGAATGTTTTGGGTTTGATGACTTACTTGGAGGGAGGCAGTTTTGTTGACTGTTGCCAACCAAGCAGACACATATAGCTGGGCGGGGGAGGTGTCTCCCAGCATTTTTTAAATTTCCTCTACTGCTTGGGGCCCAGAGCAGCCAAAAAAAATTTTCTGCTTTGGGCAGTGCTCTGGCTAAAAATGCTCTGCTTCAGGCTCATCTGGCTTTGCTCCAAATCCCTGATCTGAAAAAGGAAGTACAACTTATGCATTATTTGTATTACGTATGCTTTCTTATGTACTGTACTGTGATATATTTTTTTTTAAACCAGTGTCATGAGATATTCTTTTTTTCTGACATGCTGAAATTCATTTGGATGGTTGGGTGCGTCTGTGTGGAGGGGGGGGGGGGGATAACTTTTTTGAACCTATTGTGAATGAAGACAAGGAGCAAGTAAAGCTTGTACATCGATCCATCAATACAAGTGCACTGACACCCATCCCAGTAATAGAAGTAAGAATTTTACGAAAAACATAATATTTCATGCAAGAAATAATTTCAATCTCTAAAATTAACTTTTTTAGCATAAGCTGTAAAATGAAAGTGAAATGGTTTGTAACAGGAAAGTTTTCACTCCTCACTTGTGGAAACCTTGTTGAGTCTTCATTATATGGATGTCCAAAAAATCTGGAACAGCTGTTGGCATTGAGTTGGCAATTCAAATCCATTTTGATCAGTGTTCAATAAAAGAATTTAATTTTGGCAGCTATTATTGAAATGATCAGCAAAAATCTATGTTTCAATGCTTGATTGAAACAATGCAAATTCTTTCTTCACAGAGCTACAACAGGGCATTAAGCCTTTATTATTGAATATGCTGTGGCACCCTAAGATGCAGATATTCACATAATAGGTGCATGGACCCAATTCTAAGTTGGAATGCCTGCATGTTGGACCTTTTTTTCTCTATAGACTTATCCCTGGGAATCTTTTCAAATGGTTCATTTCTAGATGAATAGGTAATAAAATACCAGACCTTCAAAACATTATTTAATATAAGTTTTGTCAACTTCAAGATGCAGAAAATAAATTTTCAGGAGCAAATCACACAGAATCTTATTTCCTGGCATCCAAAAGAGTTCAAGAAGCAAAAAACAATAACAAGTCTTGCTATACTGAGCACAAATTATGGAAAAAACTGAAGAAAGAAGCACACAAGTAGCTCGTTTTTGACTATGAATATTAGAGTAATTATATATAATGACATTTTACTTTTAGCATTTAAAAAAATAATTAGCTGAATTTCTTTGAGAAATACCAAAATGCAAGAATTGAAAGTTTAAAGATCTTGCAAAAATCTTGAAGAAGTGTCCAGTCTTGGGTCACTATCCGGATGTTGAGGGCAGATTTTTTCAGTTCTAAGTCCTAACTGTCCCTTAGTCCAATTGTCCATGTTTCATGGTGCCTACATTTTGGGGGAAGGCATCCTATATGCGGTGTAGCATTAAAATAATACATTTTGTCCACTTGTTCTTTACCTAACCAGCACATTGATTGATGTATAGGACAAGTTTTTTTGCGACTTTTTTGTCCGCATTCACAAATGTCACAAAATATTCGCACATTCCACCACAAATCCATTCAATACCAAATAAGATTCTAGATAGGAATTGGAATAAAATGAGAGAAAGTCGAAAGAGCACTGCACTTGCATGTTATTGTAGAATTGCGACATCTATATTCTAGAAGCAAGGCACCGAACCTAGTATTGTGGGAGAATTTCTAGAGGTGTCCCTTCTGCATTGAGTGAAATAAACAAGGAGGTGTTGGTAATCAAATCAAATGTAAAATCTGATTATTCTTGCCTATATTCCTCGAATTGTAATGCAATTTGTTCTAGGTTTCATTTTGTTTGCATGTTTTGCGGGGGTCATGAAATTATTTTTAAAATTGAGTAAAAGAGTTGAGTTGGTCAACGAGCAACTAATTTTTAGTAAAAAAAAGGGTTGCCAAGTAATGTATGCAAACATATACTGAATAGACATTTAGTAAGCAAAATTATATGGTGTGCCGGGAAAAGTGCAGTGATTTTTGATTGAGAAAAGCTCAATAGTGAATCAAGCTTTAGCAAAAGAAACCTGTTGTTTGTGAAGTTCACAAAATGGGAACTGATTGAAAATTGACCAATTTTGAATAAAATGATGGCTTATGATTGTGATTAATGTGAATGAGCGTTCACTTTATGTGTTTTTCACTGCTCTTTTAGCTAAGTTTGCTATGCAGTGAGACCCCCACATGTGGACACCTTGACCTGTGGACAATTTGACATAGGGACACTTATTTTACCATAAAATTACTGAATAAGCCCAAAATCAGGACACTGACTCAACATAGGGACATTCTGTTATAAAATTTCAATTACATATTAGTCCAAATTACAAGAAACAGATATTTCCAACCCTGAAATTGATGAAAGAAAAGTTCTTGAGCATTTCTCTCACCAATTTACCACCAATTTAGCTAATTTTAAAAAATTACTTCCAGCAGAGAGGGACTTCATTTGCTCTTTTTCACTTGGATAATATTTGTATACAGAGAACCCTAACATTTATATGTATTGTACAGAGGGATCAGTATTAAATTCCCCAAATGCCCATATTGTGTTGAAATATATTGATTGGAATCAGTTTAAATTGACAGACAATTTTGATTTTCATGGAATTATGGTGAGTATTTTGTGCATAAAACACAAATTCAAAATTATATAATGTAAGTCTGAGGGAAAATGAAAATCAACTTAGGGACACTCTTGATGCACCAATTATGTCTGCATCTTGGTGTCTCACTGTAATGTATTAAGCTTTTGAAAATTGGTCCATATATTTTTTATTCCCCAGTGCATTCTTCAGGAAAGTTTGTTTTCCATTATTTTAGGGGGTTTTCAAGGTTTTTTTTGTTGAGTAATGAAAAGTGCCACTCAATTTTATTTCTCAAGCGGTATCGTCCCCTTTCTTTCACATGATTATATTCGCTGTATCCACGCATGAATTGAAGATGATGGTGACTTGGCATTTGCAGGAAGGGTTTCTGGCTGTGATTGGCGTGGTTTTTGTCACTGCAAGCGGGATTTTGCTGGCAAATAGAGTCAAGTACCTCAATGATCTGAAGTACCGATGGCCAGACACGACTACGGAAAACTGCGCAACTGCCAGCACTGTTTTCACATTTTTCTGCGCTTTCTCTTGTCTAATTGACGGTGCTTTATTTGCCTGGAAAGCAAGGAGTGGTTGATGTGGACTACTTTCAATAGCGGAATTACCTGGATTTGTATGGAAGTAGTCGTACTCTTCTTGTGAGGAAAGGGGTTCAAGGCATTAAAAGGTTTCAAAGACAAATGAGCTGATAGCAACCATCACGATGGACATTGCATATTGAAGCACTTGCATGTGATTTGTTCATGGAAGTGGCGAAATTGTAAAACGATTTTTCATTCGAATTTAAAATCCATCTGGTTTTGAATGTCCTCTTTTCTACCACTCCCAACTTACCCTCGATTCCATTCATGAAGAGTATCTCCAAAAAAAAAATTTGGATGAGTTGAAGTCAGATGGTTCTCAAAAATTTATTTTGAAAGGATTTCATACACAAAATCCTCAAAAATAGATGAACATATGAATCACAATAATGCAAGAATAATTTTCTAGTTACCAATAATGGTTTTTAAGCATTGGCTATACTTCATAAGTTACTCCAGAAAATCATATTTGAAATAATCAAGACTGAAATACTGAACAGTAATTCAAATCTCTTATTTTAAAGCTGTGTTCCCTTAAGAAGATCACATTTTTATAAATGTCCAAAATGGAATCAAGCTCAAAATTTGATATTTTTCATATTCTCATATACTGCCCTTTGCCATACAACTACACACGTACTAATGAGAGATATATACTGTATTTAAAACTTCCATAACAGCAGTTGAAGTCCAGATGCATTGTCTCACCCACTTTGCTAAAGTGGTATGTAGCTACTGTATGACTTGCAGTTCTATATTTTGCAATGTTGGGCATATATTTTGTATTTGGACAATTATTTAGGATGTCCTCATTTGAAGTATGACCAAGAACCTGAGAATGACAATGCCAAGATAATTTCGAAGCCATCTGCCACAGATGTCAAAACATCTTGCTTTGTAACTGGCATGTTATTTTTATTTGTCAGGCATGGAAATACAAGAAGCCATTCATTTTATCGCAGAGGTGTCATTCACTTGAAATCCAGGAAGCATGGAAATTTTTGTGGGTTAATACTGAGAATGAAATATCAAGCCTCATTGAGTGCTGGACAATAAGTGGTTTTTCATTAGTCTGAGCTTTCTGAGGTGATCAGTAGTTAATTTATAAGAAGATCAAGTTGAATTTCCTGCTGAGCTTTTTCTAATGCAAGTGGTGCCCTGAAATTTCACCCTGGTCTGTTGCCAGCAGCAGCCTGGGGTCAAATTGTGCATATGGTCAAATTGCAAGACAATCTCAAATTCAATGTTTTGTGCATCAAATATGAAGTTTGGGCTTTATATATACATATATTCTGAGCCACAAACCACTGATTATCCTGTGTGATTATTTATCTCTATTTTCCACTATGCTGCAATGAACCCTAGGATCCTGAACCTTGTGGTTTAATGTTTTTTCTTCTTTTTATTGTACAACATACCCACCAATCACACACACTTGACTTAAATTTTTAAAGAAAAATATGTGCATGCATGGCATGGTGTTCATATCTGTAGGAAATTGCTGCATGAATGCAGCAATTTCCTACAGATATGCTGCATTGGGTGCAGGAGAAAATCCCATGGAAGAAGAAATCCGGTGGGGCAAAAATCCCGTGCGGCCAAAAATCCGGTAGGCCCAAAAATCTTGCAGGGTGCAAAAATCCTGTAGGTAAGGAAATCCCATAAAATGAATTTTTATATCAGAAAAACCTCTGTTGAAAACTACAGAAGGCAATGGTATGAAAACAATTACAATTTATCAAAAAAGTCTAAATGCAGTTATATAGTGATATTTCATTTTCATCTTTATTAATCAAAATAAAGTATATCATGAAGGGAATATAAAAAAAAAACATTTATAAAAAGTCCACAAGTTTTCAAATCTACAAGATTTCCACCCAAATTGATGCAAGTTCATTACTTCAGAAGACAAAGTTGAGCTGTGAAATTCATTGGAAACATGCACAGTTTATATCCAAAACAATACAGCAGTGATGAAGGTTCCATACTCATGGGGATATTTGTGCCTACCGGATTTTTGGCTGAACGAGATTTTCGGGCCGCGGGATTTTTTTATCCTACCAGAGTTTATCGTCGAGCCCCTGCATCTATTTCCTGAAAATAATTCTCATCTTGAATGAGGAAGGTACCCGAACAAAAGCCCCCCCCCCCCCCCTGACAAAAGCTCCCCTTAGGTCAAAAGCCCCCCCCCCCCCCCTGAGAAGGGCTGCTTGGTCTCATTATTCCTCAATGTTGGTGGCCCTGAGAAGGGCTGCTTGGTTTCATTAGTCCTCAAAATGACTGTTAAATAATCATCTTCAAAATTGCCTTCTGCAGCCTCTTCCTCAGTGTCACTGATGCTCTCAATGTCATTTTCTTCTCAATGTGGCCCTCTTATCTCATCTCCTTCTTCATTAGCACATTTCCAGCACCTAGTACTGGCATTTGTGCTCTTAACCATGAATAAATAGCCATTGTAGTATGCCTTTTCACCACCCTTCTGATTTTTGATGATCTGAAGTGCACCAGCCATTGGATCAACAAGGTGAACTGTAGATTTTGCAGAAGTCAGCAAGTGATGATGCTTTGACATTCAAAGAATCACTGATGACCACTGCAGGTGAGTAATCCCTTTATATACTCAACTTACAAACACAGTGGTACTTGGCCTTGTTGATGCTTTGACATTCAAAGAATCACTGATGACCACTGCAAGTGAGAAATCCCTTTATATACTCAACTTACAAACATATTGGTACTTGGCCTTGTGCTGGGCCTGCTGGGAAAAGTTGCAGCTTACCATCAAGAGTTATGTAATCCCCAATATTTGCACCAAGGGGGCTTTGGCAGGGGGGGCTTTTGACCTAGGGGGGCTTTTGGCAGGGGGGTTTTTGGTGGAAGGTATACAATTTTGAAAATGAATCATGCCATTATTCTAGATGAAAACCCCAATTTTCCAACATAAGACAAAATGAAGTGAGGCTGGGAAGTGGAATTCTGGTGTCATGGGAGTTTGGTTTTTGTCTGGAATAATTCTTTAGAAGCTCAGAAATGCTTTCCAACTTCAAAAAAATGAAATATTTTCAAACTATAATTATTTGAGAGCAGCACATGGAAGAGGGAACAATTTGCAAAAATATTTTTATCAGTTTGAAAAGACAATAGGTGCATTTCCAATTTGCTTAATACAATATGTTTCATAGCCAGACCAAATGTCACTGAAATTAGAAATTGGACACTCTTCATCAAATTTTTGAGTGAGTTTGAAAAAAAAACCAATTGCACCGTGATATCTCATTGCGGAAGAAATGTTTCAGAAGATTGAAAATCGCTGTTATTTTTTTTCTGAATCACCCTCTATAAATGTGTCTTCATAAAAATGCAGATGTCATCATCATCTCAAGACAACGTGACCAATAAATACCTTCTCCCCGGTGATCACGCAAATAATTCTTGCAATCATGACCCAGAAGATAATTCACAATAATCCATTCAAACTCGAGCATACACAACAATGTGCGCATATCAATAAGGAAGCAAGCACAAAAAGCGCCCCATGAAACCCAAAATTACCCAGCCATCAAATTCACATCACGGGGGTGCGATTGATTGACTTAATTCACTCACTTTACTCCCTTCCCAATCCATAAAAAAGAATTGCGGGTTGTCACGCATAGAGGAAGCGGAATTTTCAGAAAATGCCGCGATTTTTCTCAAAACTCCTGCGACGCTTCGACAGAGTTGAAGCTTATGATATTTGGAAAAAAAAGAACATGAAAAATATGATATCCTCAGCAGCCGTGTTGCTTTTCTTGCTGGTTTTTCCTATGATGAAATCAGTTCAAGGTTTTTTAAACATCTCCTCGTTGCTGCCACAAGAAATTGACAAAAGTTGTCTGGAAAGAATGTTGCCTTCTTTCCACGCCAGAGGGCTAATCACTGATGCCGTTTTCATCGGCCAAGAAAACATAAGACGATTTTTCGCCTCTGAAAATTCAATGGCACCCTTCCGAGAAATAATCCACGCCGTGCAAGTTTTCTCGGAATTCAACGCTACGAAAACAATGGGAACGTCTTCGAGGAAACAATCAGTTTTAGCACTCGTGGCTTCCAGTGAAATCGAAATTGAGACCTTTCTTTTTCCTGTGAATTGGGAAAAAAGCACTTTGATGTGGAACGGAGTGAAGAAAAACTTCAAACGCTTCGCAAAGGTTGTGGCATTCGTGGAAAAGTCGATTTCAGGGAAATCGCCCGAGAAGTTCGAGAAAATCGTCAAGTCTGTGAATTCCCAACTCGCACCGAATAAATTCTACGTCGTGACGATGACAAACAACGAAGACGAGAAGAATTCTCGGTGCGAAATTCGCCACGTTTGCCTTCATTGTTGTGCGAATGGGAAAACTTGCGTGGTTCAGTTGAAACGCCTGAATATTTTTCCGCGGAAAAACGAGCTGGACTTTAGAGGCACGCAGTTGCGAACAGTGTGTTACAATTATTTCAAAAATTGTTGGAAAGTCGGTCCCGCGTCGTTTGATGATGTTGGAACCTTCGATGGGTCGGATTACAGACTGTTGAGAATTTTGGAAGACAGCCTGAATTTCACGACTGTCATCAAAGTACCGCCTGCGTCCGAAGTGCCGGGAATCGTGCTGCCGAATGGAACAGCAACCGGTGTCTTGGGTGAGCGAATTGGACTCATATCCTTTATTTTTGAAAATAGTAAACTTTATTAACACGTGTTTAATGATTAACATGAATCCTTTCTCGGCGTTAATGTAGTGTCATCAGAAAAATTCCCACAACAACTTGTGAAGGACCACTCAAGTAGCAACAACTCGCACATCAAATATTTGCTTTTCAAATCTTACAGACATTACCACCTTTAACGCATTCCAGTATGATTATTTGGTTAATTGTACTTCCTGACTTCTTGCTACTCAACTGAAATTCTTAAACCACCTTCACATTTCTCATCACTGGGAAACAGAAGTAACAAAGTTCTAGATTTCAACATTTCTAGAATCAGAATTTTTTTCTGGAAATAATTTTTGTTTGGGTGGATTCTCTCTGCAAAAATGTCTTTCACAATATTTTTTTCTCTTAGGTCACAGAACAGTTCACCATGTGACCATAATGTGAAATGAATGCAAAACTTTTCGCAGAGAACCTCTATAACATGTTGAAGAACCCTTCTTTGGCCAAAGAAAAATTCCTGTTGCAGAAACAATAATGGGTGCAATTTCAGACACTTTGAGCATCTTTAAACTGAAAAATCATTGCCAAAATTTCGAAAAAAAGGTCAAGATATACAGATGCTTCTCCAAGATATACCAAAAATTGAAAAAAATTAATTTTTCTAAATGTTGACATCTCTTGAATCAATGAGCTGGCACAGTGACAATTTGGGTTGTTCTGATGATGCTGGTCCATGTGTCAATTGGCTTCTATGTGTTTTTATGCCCCCAATCTATTCTGGGGGTGGTCATAAGCAACATGAAGGACTTCTGCTGGATCCCAGTAAATTTGGCTCAACTGTTGAGGGGCCAATTTATCAGGGCATGGCATGTAAAAATGATCTATTCCAAAAACTTTGAATTTTTCAAGGAGAAATGAATTTCTAAAGATGAGAAAAAACCCATGAGAATTTTGCTTGTATCAGGCAAGTTTGTCACAGGTCTTCTGCCTGTTTGCTTTGGTGGACTCAGAGGCAGTAAAGCATCAAATTCTTGTGTTTTTTGGGTAATTCTGTCAATCATACAAATGATGGACCCTCACAACTTTCCAAGGGGACATTGGCATGCCCTTCAGAAACATAATCCCAAAGTCATTAAAATTTTGGGATCAATAAATTATGTCAAAAACAAGACTCAAGAATCAGCTCAGCAATAATTCTTCACAAACACTCCAATTTATGAACAAAACCTGGCACAATGTCTGCTTATTTTTTCAAGGTTTTGGCATGATTTGTGTACAGTATAGCTAGACTTCTTTAAGCTCTTTGCTTTCTGAGCTTTTTCTGATATAGAAAGGTCAAATTCTGTGTGGTCATCTTTTGCCCTGTTTCTTATGCATCTTCAAACTGAGAAAACAATTTTATTCCATTCTGGGGACTTCTTTCCCTATTT